CACCTTCCTCAGGGATGTGTTTTGGGTCTGTATCCTGGTCCCTTGTTTCTCCTGCTTTATCTTGCTTCTTTGTGTGGACTGTGATGCTCTGTTGTCTCTGAGGCATTGTGACGTTTTTATTATTTAACCAGTGATTCTATGTTGGAGTGACTTGGCCACAATTTTTGTTTTCTTTGTATGTTTTCTATACAAGCAGGGTACTGTGCTCCTCTATTCATTAGTTGACAGCACTTATACACTCACTACCTGTCTCTTTTCTTGTTATCAGCCTCTCATATGTCCCTGCCAACCTTGGCAAACAGAGCCTTTTCTTAGGTCCCTGGAATCCGAATCAGACCATATGATTATGTTTTATGGAGCATTTCAAAATCAGAACACATACTTAAACATGGGAAAATCCACTGTGAAGCTCCATCAGTAAAAGTATTTGTCCTATCAGTATTTCAGCTTTGTGGTCTAAAATATTTTTATTTGTGGTTTGTGATCAATCTAACATTATCACATAAAGAGGATTTCACAGAGTATATAAAACTGTATTCTTTAGTTTTCTGGTGATTGCTTAAAATGTTAAGCAAGAAATATGTAAAAGTATCTTTTAACATATTAATAATTATTAAAATTACTAATAAAAAGAAAGAGTTTTATTGGTTGTTTTTTTTTTATTTAGAAGCTACTTGAGGGATGTGGGTTCCAAGCATATGATTTTTCACCTTAATTATCAGTATTTAGCCTTATGAAAAAAAAGACTCATTGGGTTTTAATGAATTATAGTCTACATTAAGCTGATACTAAAATTCTACTTTGCAGGAGACACATACACACATTTCTGTTTTTTTTTTTGGATGGGAGAGATGAAAAGTGATATAGGTGAAAGAGAACAGATGTAAGACTGCTGTTTTACAGAAAGACCAAACTGAGAAAGGTTTCATTTCTTTCAAACACCATACTTAGAAAGACATACGTACCAGCTGGTTAGAAACATCAGCATGATCCTTTCTGGTCATACCTTCTCCTATAGCAGATTTCATTAATCGAGATAACGAGGGCAGCACATTAATAGGCGGATAAATCTTGTATAGAAAGGGAGAAAAAGTTCTTTTGAGTGTCAAATCCTAAATGTGAAATCTACAAAACAGTACAAGACTATACAGAAAATCTACAAATTTCAACATCTGTCTTGCAGTACCAATCTCTAATCTAAATGGTATTCTGACCTCTGATATATAAAATCATATATGAAACAAAAAGGTTAAAAAGCAATTCTACCTAAAAGCTGATTTTAAAAGCTAGCATCTATTAGAGAGCCACAAAAAAAAAAAAAAATTTTTTTTAAATTATACTAAGTTTGGGAAATTATATCATTATGAAATAAAATACCCCAACAATTTCCTTGAGAGATAACTGACTCCATTTTAAGGCACAATAAAGAAAAGTGATAATTTAATTCTATGTTTGGGCAATTATTCACACCAGAATTTTAGTACACAGAAATGACAATTCTATAACCATACTAAAATAATTCAAGTTGATCTTGAATTAAACAAAATAATTCCTAAGGGTCAAAACTAAAGTCACAAAAGAATAAAACTTAAGAGGAGATTTATAAGTTTCACAGTATTGTTCAAAAATCAAGTACCTGTCTGTTGTACAGCTGTCTGTCCACATAGATCTGTCCCTCTGTAATGTATCCAGTCAAGTCAGGGATGGGGTGAGTGATATCTACCAGAGGAAGACATTTTACCTTAAACATGGCATTTTAATTTAAGTTTTAGTTAAAATGGTCATTTGCTATAACCAAACCTACAGTTAATCTGCATTCCCTGGAATAGTGATACACAAAAGACTTTTTTGCAATGACACAATCAGGAATCTGTATTGGTCAATTTGGTAGCCACTAGGCATTTGACTGCTAACCAGAAAGTTGGCGGTTTAAATCTACCAGCTGCTCCATGGAAAATGGGGCAATCTCCTTCTGTAAAGATTTACAGCCTTGGAAACCCAATGGGGATCACCATGAGTCAGAACTGACTCAACAGCAGTGCGTTTGGTTGGGGTGGCTACTGAGTACTTGAAATGTGGCTAATGTAACTGAAAAACTGAGTTTCAAAATTAATTTAATTTAAATAGCCACACATGGCTAGCAGCTACTATATTAGAAATTTAATTTGTTTGGTTATAGCACACTAGACATGTATGTTGGCACATTCATAAAAACTACCATTTCTCCTACTTATGTGATTTCCTTACAAAATAAACAAAATTCCATTTATAAACATCAAGTTCCCAAGGTCCCTGGATGGTACAGATAATCTGCATTTGGCTGCTACCCCAAAAGTCGCTGGTTCGAACCCACCCAGTGGTAGAGCAGAAGAACAAGGCCTGGAGATCTGCTTTTGTAAAGATTATGGCCAACTTGACTCTGTAGTGTACAGAGTGTCCAAATGAATGAATTAACAAATAAATGTCTCAACAAACGCAAAGTTCCCTTGCAGAAATCTGCCAATTCAATACATATACTGAGAACATTACTGAGTAAATAATTTTAGTTCACAAGATCTATCAGATAGAAACGTTACATTTCAACACAAAAAACGTTAAGGATACTAGACAAGGAGCACTACTCAGGTAGGAAAGAGATCACACAAAGCAATACATCTAAATCTGTTCAATTATACAGGAAAGTGACTATTTCACAGAAACAAATTATTTTCATGTCAGGAAGCAGTATAATTATAGTGTAATGATTAGTGTAAATTATGAATTCAGACTATTAGTTCTTAACTATGACAAATTATTTTACCTCCCCAAGCCTCAGAGTATACAGCACCTACCTCAAAGTTGCTATGAGGATCAACTGAGTTAATATTCATAAAGCACTTATAACAGTGCTCAATACAGTGAGTTAGTCCTGTTTGGGAAATTTCTTAGGAATGTAATTTTTAAACTGAGATAAAGACAAAAAGGCAGTAAGATAAAAGGAATGCTGAATGGTTATCACCCCAGGAGCGATCCTGAGCATACACTCAGAGGCACGGCATAGTGAGCTTTCTCATAGTAAAAAAAGTACACTGTAACCAGTCCTTGGTGATCATTCTGTTCTCTGAAATCTGTGGCATTTACTCTCTGTGTTCTTCAATGAACACTTACTTGCTATTTTAAGTTTCTGAAGCACATATGTAAAATTTGGAAGCACAGTGCCTAAGGAATTTGCCTGCTAACCAGAAGACTGGAGGTTCAAACCAGCCACTCCTCTGGAAGGAAGGTTGGGCAATCTACTTCCGTAGTGATACGCACTGCCATGGAATCGGATCCGACTCATAGCAACCCCTCCTTGGGTTTCCGAGGCAGTATCAATACTTCTAGTGATACCACCTTGGAAACCCAAGGAAGGGTCACTATGAGTCGGATCCAACTCCACGGCAGTGTGTTGCACTGCGTTAAGTAGATTTAATAATTTACATTAAGTAGAGATCACAATTTTTTTATTTTAATTTTTCACATCTACATCAATATCCTGTAAACAGGACATTAAATCTTTAATAGTAGCCAATAAATTCAAATTAAAAATACAAATTACAAAGAAAATTGATTTTCTTCCACAAAATGATAATTAGGGGTAAATTTTTCAAAAATTTTTTTATTGTAATTTGGGTGAAAGTTCACAGAGCAAATTCACTCTCCATATAGCAGTTCACATATCCTTTGTCTCATGACATTGACTGCAATTCCCCATAATGCAACAGCTTCCCTCCCACTTCCTCCCCATAGTTACCTCTTCCCTGTCCTTCCCTCCCATGTACTTCTGTCCCCCGAGCTGTCTCCTTGTGCATACACAGCCCTTCTATTCTCCCATGATTGATTTCTCCAAGGAGTGTATCTACCTAGTGTATATGTTCAGCTCATATGCCTGTCTTTTGTTTGGCTGGAAGCACAGGAGTGGGTTTACTTGCAGACCTGGAGGGCAGCTAGAGGCCACAGTTTCAGTGGTTCCACCAGGCTCTATCAGACCAGCAAACCTGGTCCCTTGTTCTCCCACTCTACCCAGGATCTCCTACATAGATCCCCTTCCGAGTGGCTGACAGTGGTAGCTGGGCACCATCTAGTTCTTCTGGTCTCATAGTCATATAGGCTGAGGATCGCATGGTGTACCAGTCACTTGGACTAATTGTTTTCATGTGTCTTTGGTTCTCTTCATTCTTCTCTACTCTGAATGAGGAGAGACGTTATTGATGCATCTAGATGTCTACTTGCAAGCTTTTAAGATCCCAGCCGCTACTCGCCAAAGTAGAATGTGGAACAATGTTTTTGTGTAGTATGTTATTCCAATGGAGCTTGATGTACCCTGCGACTATGGTCCCGAGCCCACAGGTCCAATTACTTGCTGCCTCTGGGTAGCTGGCTATGGCCAAGAAGTAACTATAACCTTGTCCCTTGTCAGCTCTACGATATACCTGGGAATTCTTACAGAACATACAGTTGTGGAAACATCGTGTGCTAACCCTGTTCATGGTCTTGGGCACACTCCCCCTGCATACACATACCTAATATTCAGCCTGTCTACCCATCTATCCACCTGTGTATCAATGTTTGCCTTCATTGACAGCATAGTACTGTATGTGCAAAAGGGTTCATCTTTGCTGTGTGTACCTCCCATGCACCTCTCTCTTTCTCTTCCTCAATGCCACTGTGTTGATCACTAACATTTGGTACATTGCCCTTCTCTTCACCCAAATCAATACTTGTCTCTACCTATTGAGCAGTGTTCCCTCCCCACCCCTCCCCCTCCCAGTAACCAATAAAGGAAATTTCCTTCCATATATAAACCTTTCCTTGACTTTTTTTTTTCGGCCTTAACAAACAGGAGTTTATTCTCTATAACAGTTTGGAGGCTTTAAGTCTGAATTCAAAGTGCCAGGCTCTAGGGGCTGGGTGAAAGGCCCTTGACCTTGGGCTTCAGCTTTGCCTCCTGCTCCCATTTCCTTTTTACAATAACGACTAATATAATATCTGTCCTTCTGTGATTGACTTATTTCACTCAGCATAATGTCCTCCAAGTTCATCCACATTATGTGGTGTTTTGCAGATTCTGTTATTCTTTAGGGTTGCATAGGATTCCATTGTGTGTATGTACCATAGTTTGGTTAACCATTCTCCTGTTGATGGGCACCTAGGCTGCTTCTACCTTTTGGCTACTGCAAATAGTGCTGTGATGAACATGGGTGTGCATAGATCTGTTCTTGTCCTGGCTCTCACTTCTTTGGATATATACCTAATAATGGAATGGCTGGGTCAAATGGTATTTCTAATTCCAACTTTTTAAGGAATCACCATACTGCTTTCCACAATGGTTGTATCATTTCACAGTCCCACCAGCAATGTATGAGAGTCCTAATCTCTCTGCATCCTTGCCAGCGTTTGTTATTTTCTGTCTTGTTGAACTTTGCTACTAGTGCTGAGGCAAGATGGTATCTCACTGTTGTTTTGATTTGCATCTCTCTAATGGCTAATGAGGAGCTCTGGTAGCATAGTGCCTAAAGCACTTGACTGCTAACCAGGAGGCTGGTGGTTCAAACCCACCAGCCTCTCCTCGGAAGGATGATGGGGCAATCTACTTCCATAGTGATGTTGTTGTTGTTGTTTTGCCGTCGAGTCGGCCCCGACTCATAGCGAGCTCTCCTTGGGTTTCCGAGGCAATATCACTACAGAAGTAGGACTGCCCAACCTTCCTTCCGAGGAGTGGCTGGTGGGTTTGAACCGCCAGCCGTCTGGTTAGCAGGCAACTGTCTTAGCCACTATGCTATCAGAGCTCCCTCCATAGTGATACTGCCTTGGAAACCCAAGGAGGGGTTGTTATGAGTTGGGTCCGACTCGACGGCACATAACAACAACAACAACAATGGCTAATGATCATGAGTATTTCTTCATATGTTTGTTGGCTGCCTGAATATCCTCTTTGGTGAAGTGTCTATTCATGTCTTCTGCAATTATGGGTAATTTTTAAAAGAAAAAAATTTTATTCAAGCATAAATAACTACCTAAGGTAAACTCCAGCTCTAGAGCTCAAGAGGTGTAGCTCTGGTGGCATAGAGCCTAAGGCATTTGACTGCTAACCAGAAGGCTGGCGGTTCAAACCCACCAGCCATTCCACAGAAGGAAGACTGGGCAACCTACTTCTGTAAAGATTTACTGCCTCAGAAAGCCAAAGGAGGTTGCTATGAGTCAGAATCAACTCGATGGCAGTGAGTTTTGTTTTGTTTTAAAGTAAACTCTTGGAGAGTTAAGTTCTCCAAAGAATTTCAACTCAAAACGTTATACAGTCTTCTCTCTTAGACTCAAAATCCTTACAGTGATTAAAACATCATTGCCATTGAGTCAATTATGATTCATAGTGATACTATAGGACAGAGCAGAACTGCCCCATAAGGTTTTCAAGGCTGTCATCTTTACAGATTGTCATATCTTTCTCTCATAGAGTGGCTGGTTGGTTTGACCTTTTGGTTAGCAACTGAGCGTTTAATCACTATGTCACCAGGGCTCTTTAAACAATGATTAGATGCCATATTCCAAAAACTTAAAAACTTACCGTCATTAGGCATGGTGAGAATTGGGATCTGAGTAATAGAGCCATTTCTACCTTCCACCCTGCCAGCACGTTCATATATTGTGGCTAAATCTGTATACATGTAACCTGGGAAACCTCGTCGACCAGGAACTTCTTCTCTGGCTGCTGAAACCTGACAATACATCAAGGAAAAGATTATTTTGTGCCAGAATATGGAAAGTAAATCTTGATTAGAATATGTTTGTTTGAACATGTTTTTTTTTTTTTTTAAATTGTGATTGGGTGAAGGTTTACAGAGCAAATTTATTTTCAATACAGCAGTTCACATACACTTTGTCTCATGACATTGACCACAGTTTACCACTCCGACTATGGTCCCAAGCCTGCAGGTTCAACTACTCGGTCCCTCTGGGTAGCTGGCTGTGACCAAGCCGTGACCACAACCTTGCCCCTTGGCAGCTCTACCATACACCTGGGAATTCTGCTCATTCACATAAACTTATAGGACCATTGTCTGCCAACCCTATATATGTTCTTGGATATAGTCCCCATTTCATAGACATACCTAATTGTGTTGGAACATGTTTCAAGAAAATCTTCTAGAAACACAAGTTAAAATTATTCTGCAAAAAAAAATGTTGACAATGGGGATTCAAAAGTTTTTTGGTAAGAGCTTATTGCCATAATATAAATCTTTAAATAGCTTTGCTAGAAGGAAATCTTCTGGAAATTTTAGAAATCACAGATAGTTTTAAGATTGAGAGAACATTTTTAGTGCACAAGGTATATTTCATGCTATGGATCTAGTTATATTTATGTCAAAAGGGTAGGAAATATATGCCAGGATTCATGTGTTGCATTTACATATATTATTTAATATATTATTTAACCCTCACAGTACCACTACATGGATGGTATTATTATCCCCAATTTGCTGTTGGAATCAAGAGTCAGTTAAGTTAAATAATTTCCCAAGGTCACAAAGCTAGCAGTTCGTTCTACTGTACAAAATAAGAATAGTGGTAAATTGTCTTTCTCTTAAGAGATATGCGCAGTAGAAAACAGGTATATGTATTATTTAATCTACAAGCACCAAGAACATTATTAAGTTAATTTTTAAGGATACTTTGGAACCTTCAAAAGAGGATACTATAGTGGTACTACACAGCGTATGGTATGCAGCCCAAGTGTTATCAGTGTTCAATAAGATAATATAGAAATTGAGATAAGCATATAGAATCTTTAATGGAAATTTGACACCAGGATAATTTTATGCCTGTTAAATCTAATAGTAAGAAAAAGTCTGCGCTTATACATTATAAATCTTTTTTGCTTTTATAACAATTCATTTCTTTTATATTTTATAAAAGTATTGGTCCATAATGGATGGGGGGGGAACTAGAGTTAGTTTGAAAAAGCACCATTAATACAGTAAGATAGGTTGAAGGATTATAGGGAATTTTAAGAAGCTAGATATTGATAGAATCTATCTCTTCAGAGGTCTTTTTCCTTTTTATGTGCTTAAAAGAATAAGTTACTCAAGATTTCAGTAACTTGTAGAACAAATATCCCAAAATTTCTGAGAGATAAATGCCAGATTCTTAACACTTTTCCTAAATAAACATTGGGTTTTCTAAAGGAAAAAATTTTGAAGGGTGCTGCCAGAGTATGGTCTTTATCTTCTTAAATACTAACATCATCAAAAGGAGCTCTGGTGGCGTAGTGCCTAAGGCATTTTACTGCTAACCAGGAGGCTAAATGAAATTCTGAATAGGGTTAAAAATTGACAGCTTGGGTAGAGATAAACATCCTGGGAAAAGAACTGAATAAACTGCGAGCATCATTTAACTCCCTTTTTCAATCAGTTCTTAATCCATCCATGGAGACGTTATGGTATGATAAACACGCTAATAATTTAAATCTCATCTCCTAATCATTTCACCAAGTTGACAGATACCAGTATTATTTTTGTTTCTGATTAAGGTATTCTACTAATAAATGGATCATGAAGCTTAAAAGACATGATTAAAGAAAAATGAAAACTTGCAAAGGACAACAGAACCCTGAAAATGGGCCCACTTTGTTTAATTGAGGGGAAAAAAAAAATTGAACAGTTTCGATGGTTAAGCACCAGATTCTCTGCCAGCAACAGGTATAAAAAAATGGGAAAAAAAAGTTACCTCTCGAAGTGCTTCAGCATAAGAACTCATGTCTGTTAGGATAACCAGTACATGCTTCTCACATTGGTAGGCCAGAAACTCGGCTGTGGTTAGAGCCAGGCGAGGAGTGATAATCCGCTCAATGCTGAAATGGAACAGTAAGTCCTATGTCACTCAGACAAAAAGGCCAAAATAAAACCAAATGATTCTGGAAATACAGAACAGTCTCTCTTTTAAAGACTAAATAAATTGTTCCTTTAAAAACTCCTAAGTAAGGCAGAGACAGTTTATGTGTTTTCTAACAAGAATCACTTAGTGCTACAATTTCTCAGACTATGGTACCCTCAAAACTAAGAGAGTGAGAGACAGAAAAGTGGGAAAAGAAATGGGGCCAGATTTCTCAGGAAAGAGAAAAGGATCGTTTATTGAGTAGCCACTGTGTGTGTGCTAGACAATTTATAACACAGGCATGATCTCACTTTAATAAGTAAAACAATCCTGTGAGACAAGTACTATTTGTCTCTTGGCTGCTAACTGAAAGGTGAGTTAGAACTCACTAGCCCCTAAGTGAAAGAAAGATGCTGCAATCTGCTTCCATAAAGATTTACAGCTTAGGAAACCTTATAGGGCAGTTCTACTATGTCCTATGTCCATATGGTCTCTATGAGTCAGAAGCAACTCAATTATAACCAGTTTGATTTTGCTTTAGCCTTAGAAAAAGGAGCACTGGTGTGGTGATGGTTAAATGCTAATGGAAAAGTTGACAGCTGGAAGCTGCAAGCTGCTCTGCAGAAGAAAAGACCTGGTGATCTGGTCCTCTAAGGATACCAGCTTTGGACATCCTATAGGCAGTTCTGTGTCCCATAGGATCGCTATGAGTCAGAACCATCTCCATGGCACACAACAACAGTATTAGAAAACAAGGTAACATTTTTGATCTTGATTCTGAGTGAAAAGAAAGAAACAGCTTTATCTACTTACGTTGGGTCATTAGCCAAGTTCAAAAACAGGCAGACATTGTCCATTGAGCCATTTTCTTCAAAGTCAGATTTGAAGAATCGGGCAGTTTCCATGTTTACCTAAATGGCAATGACTTCATCAGTACTGGGCAAAGAAAAATCTTAATATCCATTTCTGATCAAGGCCAAGCTATGGATCTGAATTGTTACTATTCTTAAAGTTTCAAGTACCCAAAAGATTTCTGTAATAGCCAAAACGGTAAACAGCCTGATTTGGGCATGAAGACTATCAGTTTCACAATCAGATTGCTAAATTTCAATATTTAGTTTGGCCAACATGTCAAGTTGGTAACTTCTCCACCTGGAGAGATTAAATTACAAATGTGCAGTTTACTATATTGTTCAGGTAACATAAACATTTAGTTTTATATTGCTATATTAAACTGTGAAAAAATTATACTTACACCCATAGCAGCAAATACAATTGCAAAATTTTCTTCACTGTAGTCTACTACATCTTTGGATTTCTTTACCAAACCAGCTTGCCGACAGATTTGAGCAGCAATCTGATGAAGATTATAAAAGAACCAAGTTAAAAATTTAGGATTATATTCTACTAAGAAATGACTTTTATCCAACTTTCTGGAATTGCAATTATCAATGAAACTGGCATGTTTTAGAGGTCTTTCAGCAATAAAAATACTGTACTTTTTGCAAAGATATACAGTTAAGCAAGAAGACAGATGTTACGCATGCATAAAGATTCAATGTAATTGGATTATACAAATAATAACGTTACCATTTATTTTGAAAATGCTTTGATTTTTCAATAAAAATAATGCATTTAGAAATACTTCCCTGTTAAATTTCACACCAGCTACATCCTTGTTCTTACCTCATTGTGCGGTAAGCCAGCAGCAGAAAAGATAGGAATTTTCTGCCCCCGGGCAATGCTGTTCATGCCATCGATGGCCGAAATACCAGTCTGAATCATCTCCTCTGGATAGATTCTACACTGAGGATTAATTGGTTGACCTTATACATGTCCAAAGGAAAAAATATTAATATGTCTGCACATTATTTGGGAATAGAAAACAGAAACCAAATAAAAACAAAAAGCAGCATAAGAAGAGATCCGAAATGTGTAAAACATTTCTCTTTACTCTTAAAAAAAAAATCACTTATATGTGAAACCTGAAACTATAGAAATAATTATTTTCCATGAGTCTTTTATATTTTCACAAAATACAATGGTAGCAGAACAAGTTCTTCAAGTTAAATAAAGGTAAAGTAAATAAGAGAGGAATCCTTATCTCAAAGCCACAATTTTACTATTTACATTTCAGATAGGCTATAGTGATATTTCACAGTGTTTTAAGATATTATGTGTAAATATATAGAAGATCTTTACATTTACAAAGATGATTTCTAGGAAAAATAAATTTATTAAACATGGAAATAGTTTAAGAAATTACTTGTAAAATGTTGGTTATCTACTTAGAACAGTATTCTCTCACACACACACTCACACACTCACATACACACAAACCCCAAAAACCCCCCACTACAGAGGTATACCCCCAATGCCGTCGAGTCAGATCTGACTTATAGCGACCCCTCCATGGGTTTCTGAGGTGGCATCACTAAGGTAGTAGATTGCCCAATCTTCCTTCCGAGGAGTGGCTGGTGGGTTTGAACTACCAGCCTTCTGGTTAAGCAATCAAATTCCTTAGGCACTATGTCACCAGAGTTCCCAAGTTATTTTCCTCAAGACACAGAAATCCATTTACTGCCCCTACCCATAATGTCAAGGAAGTCTTCAGCCAGCACAACAGGGCCTCTGTCAATAGGTTTTCCTGATCCATTGAATACCCGACCTGTAAAAAAGTAACAAGACAGAACAGAGTGGACACTGATTTTCAAATATTCATTACTTTTCTAGATTTTATGGAAATATGTTTAGAAAGAAACAAGATCTCTGCTCAGAAGAACAATTATATGCATTTACCAAGCATATCCTCAGACACTGGTGTTCGGAGAATATCTCCAGTAAACTCACAGGACGTTTTCTTGGCATCTATACCTGAAGTACCTTCAAATACCTATCAACAAAGAGATGTAATCAGAAATTTACATGGGGACTTAAGTTTTATCTCTGATAAACAGCATGTATAAAGTAAAATACATAAATGGACACCACATTAATACAATGAAGAAAGAAATGTTCATGTTACGAGCCAAACTCTCAATGTTCAGACCCAGAGTGGTAAGCTATGCCTGCAGGCCAAATCTGACAGATAAGATAATGTTTTTACATTTTAAATGGTTGTTTGAAAAAAAGAAAGAAAGATTATGCAACAGAGAACTTACGTGGTCCTACAAAGCCACATGAAAGTATTTATTATCTGGCCTTCATAGAAAGTTTGCCAGCCCCTGCTCAAAACTATTTTTTAGGGGAGCAAATTATTTGAGAAAACTGGCATTTGTCATACTCAGGTAACATTAAAAAGTAGAATTTTAAAGAAAGAATTTAAAGGAATAGACTCAAGATATCCTTTTGGTCTTATCCCATCAGTGAATTCTGCTTTTCAAGACCTTCCTATGTGACTTTCATTTTTTCCACTGGGGGGAAAAAAAAGTCATTTGACTGGTAGAATTATTGGGCTACAATAAATATAAGAGGCTGACATTTGAGGAGAAGAATAAAAAAAATAATAGTATTTTTTTCCCACATACCACCAGTAATTGATCTCTAAAAACTTCACCTCACTCAATGAGTACTAGAAAAAACAAGCAGTGTTCCCTTGTTTTTGAGATTAGGAAAAAGTTCAACTGACCAAGTTTTTTTTTTTTTTATTGTGATTTGGGTGAAACTTTACAGAGCAAATTCACTTTCCATATAGCAGTTCACATACACTTTGTCTCATGACATCGAATGCAATTTCCCACAATGCAACAGCTCTCCTCTTACTTCCTCCCCACAGTTACCTCTTCAGTGTGTCCTTCCCTCTGATGCACTCCTGCCCCTTGAGCTGTCTCCCTGTATATACACAGCCCTTCTATTCTCCCATGACTGTTCTCTTCAAAGAGTGTATCTGCCTAATGTAAATGTTCAGCTCCTATGCCTTTCTTTTGTTTGGCTGGAAGCCACGTGTGTGGGTTCAATTCCAGACCTAAAGGGCAGCTAGGGGCTATAGTCTCAGTGGTTCCACCAGGCTCTATCAGACCAGCAAACATGGTCCTCCCACCCCCCTTTTTTTAAAAAAAATCATTTTGAGTTTTGTTCCACATTGTTCTCCCACTCTATCCAGGATCTCCCACATAGATCCCCCTCCAAGTGGTTGACAGTGGCAGCCCAGCACCATCTAGTTCTTCTGGTCTCATAGTTGTATAGGCTGAGGATCACACTGTGTACCAGTTGCTTGGACTAATCGTTTCCATGAATCTTTGGTTTTCTTCATTCGTCTTTGCTCTGGACAAGGAGAGACCCATCACTGCATCTAGATGGCTGCTTGCAAGCTTTTAAGATCGCAGGCAATTGACCAAGTTTTGAAAGTGATGCTTACCTGAACCACTGCTTTAGAACCACTAACTTCTAGAACCTGACCACTTCTCTTCGTGCCATCTGGTAATGTCAAATGGACAATCTCAGCATATCTGGGAAACTAAATAGAAAGAAAGGATCAATAAGCAACGTTTTAAAATCTTCTCCCAAGAGAAGCTCCCCAAAGCACTCTATATGTGTTATCTCCACACAGCCTTCATGCATGTATACTTCTTCTACCCCAACACAGACATATACTGAGAATTTATAATGTCCTCAGGTACTGAAGTCCTTAATAAGCAAACACAACTGACACACATACTGCCAAACATAGCATTATATACAAGGAGTAGGGTCTTAAACCCATGAAAATAAAGCAATTAAAATTTCTTTCCCTATGTGTATATGTAAGGAGCTCTGGTAGCACAGTGCCTAAGGCATCTGACTGCTAATCAGAAGATTGGTAGCTCAAACCCACCAGCCACTCTGCAGAAACAAGACTCTGCAATCTACTTCTGTAAAGATTTACTGCATTGGAAACCCAGTGGGGGTCACTATGAGTTGGAATAGACTTGATGGCAGCGGGTTTGGTTATTATGTGTATATATTTTAAAGTTTTGAGACTATCCAAAAGCCAAATCAAACCCGCTGCCATCGAGTTGATTCTGACTCATAGAAATCCCTACTGAGTTTGCAAGTTGGTAAATCTTTATGGAAGTAGATTGCCTCATCTTCCTTCCATGGAACGGCTGGTGAGTTTGAACCACCAACCTTCTGGTTAGCAGTCAGATGCCTTAGGTACTGTGCTACCAGAGCTCCTCTTTGAGACTATAGAAAGGTACAAAAAAACACAAATATCCATGTTCCCACTACTCGAAACTGATGTTGGCTTCTTGGGCTGTATGTGTGTGTGTGTAATCATATGTGTTTTTTGGGGTGCAAAAAAGAGTTATTATTAATTAAATAATTACTGCTGTAATAATATTTTCTTTTAAAGTGAAAACAACAAAGAATTTTTTTAATAGGTTCGATTTATGTTTCAAAAAGAGTATTTAATCATTTTGAAACAATGGGAAGGGTTTTATAAAAATGGCTTCAAGTCATCTTCACTTTTCACAAGCAAAGGTGTATCACCTCAGTATAAAAATATCTTTTTCCCACACTTCTGCCTATCTTACATTGCTAAAGTTTAATTTTTGCCATTTTGGTAAGTTAAAAATCAGCATCTTTTATATTTACATTTTCCTAATTTATACTACCATTGAGTATTTTTTCATGTTTACTGATAATTCAAACTTCATTTCCTATGAATGTATTATTAATATCCTTTCCTTACTTTGGTACAGGATCTGCTTTTTCTTATTTATTGGCAGAAGTTTATATATTCTGAATATTAATTCTTTTGCAAATATCTTTTCCTTCCTTTTTTTTTGACATTACTTATGTTATCATAAGGAGCTCTGGTGTCATAGCGCCTAAGGCATTCATCTGCTAACCAGAAGGTTGGTGGTTCAAACCCACCAGCCACTCCATAGAAGGAAGACTGGACAATCTACTTCCGTAAAGATTTACCTCCTTGGAAACCCAAAGCAGATTGCTATGAGTTGGAATAGACTTGATGGCAGTGAGTCTGTTTTTCTTTTTATGTTATCATATGGAAGTTTTAAAACTTTTATATAATAAAATTGTTTTTTGATATGAGTTGTGTCTTCTTGCCTTTTTGCCTGATAAAGATGGTTTCCTATATTTTCTTCTAAAAGTTTTACATTTCAATTTCAGTTTTCATGTTTGGGTCTTTAATACATCTGGATTCATTTCTGATATCTAATTTTATTCTTTTTCATATGGGAAATTAATTGTTCCAGCAATACTTATTGAAAAACCCCAAGTGTTCCCCATTGGCTTAAAATGTGTCTCTTCATTTACCAAGTTTTCATGCCTTAGGAGAGTTAGTTACTTTTGTTTCACTGATATCTTCTTATTTCTGTGCCAAATCCTTATTCTTAATTACTTTCTATCTCATTTTGTTATCTGGTAGGGGAAGTCTCTTTTCTCCTTTTTCAGGATTGTCACTGTAAGCATTGAACTTTCTCTTCAATTTGAATTTTAAAATGAGTTTCTCAGTCGCACTGACTTATACAAACACACACAATTTTGGGACTGTAATTGGAAATAAAAGAATTTACATATTAATTTGGGAGAATCAACACCTTTACTATTTTTAGTCTTTCCATTCATGAATATGGAACCTCTATTTATTTAGGTCTTCTTTTCTCTCTAAAGTACCTGAGTGGTACAGTTAACTCACTTGGCTACTAACTGAAAGGCTGGAGGTTCAAGTTCACCCAGAGGTACCTGGGAAGAAAGGCCTAGTAATTTAGTGCCAAAATTTCAACGATTGAAAATTCTAAGGAGCACAGCTCTACTCTGATACACATGGGTTTGCCATGAGTCAGAGCTGAGTTGATGGCAACTGGCTTGGTTTTGGTTTTACGTCTTTGAACAAAGTTTTATAGCTTTCTGTAAATAATTACTGATTATTCCAATCAGTTACTTCTAATCAGTTATGTTTGGCATATAGAACAATACTGATCTCTGTAAATGAACCCTCTCTATATAACTATATACCATTGTTTCTAACAGTCTTCACAGAATGGCTTGGATTTTGTTTAGTTTACCATATTATCAAGAAACAATCATCGTTAACTGCTGTTGAGTTGGCCCCAATACATGGCAACCCCACGCACAATGGCAAGAAACGCTGTCCATTGGGGGCCAACACTGTGATCAGCTGCAGGTCAGATCACTGTAACCCATAGGGTTTTCACTGGCTGATTTCCAGAAGCAGATCATCATGCCTTTCTTCCCAGCCCATCATTAGTCTGGAAGCTCTGCTGAAACCTTTACAACATCACAGTACCATGTAAGCCTCCACTGACAGACAGGTAGTGGCTATGAATGAGGTGTATTATCTGGGAATTGAACTCAGGTCTCCCATACTGAAGGAGAGAATCCTACCACTGAACCACCAATGCACCACAAAACATGATGACATATGTGCTGTTTACTTTCTTATTCTTTTATAGCCTAATTTCTTTTTCTCACAGTGTTGGCTAGGTTCTAAGCACAAAGGTGAATAGTGATGATGACAGCAGGCATCTTTCTTTACCTTAATCCTGATTCAAATGAGAATGTTTTAGAGTCTCTCCTTAAGTGTGTTGCTTGCGGAAGGTTATGGTCAACATCCTTTAAGAAGTTAAATAAGTTTGCTCTATTTTGTATTTTCTAAGAGGGCTTTTCCTTTTTTGTAAGAAATGAGTTATTTAATTTAATCAAATATTATTTCTGTATTTACTGAGTATAGCCTTTTCTAATTTAATCCATAATGTACTAAATTACCCTGATACATTTTCTAATGTCAAATCATCCTCTGTTGCTGAGATAAACCTTACTTTGTCATAGTTTTTATTTATTTATTTTTTGTACAGTTATTTTTTGCTAATACGTAACACATGAATCTATTTTATTATCAATTTTGACATTCTGTGTTTTTAACTGAGAATGCCTGCATTTTTCTTGGCTGGCACTACTCTTCTAGTTTTGGAATCAAAGATAACATTATTTGAAATGAGTTGGGTAGCAGCAATTCATCATCTTTTATTCTCTAACACAATTTGTATAAGATTATCTTTTCCTTGATTCTACATGTATGCTTTAAGTTAAAACCAAAATCGAAAAATAAAACCTGTCACTTGTCTGAGAAAACAAATTAGAAGTTTAAAGCTAAACTTTGGGATAGCATGGGGAGGCTGTAAAAACCACAAGCGAATTTGATAAAAAAACAAAACAAAACAAAAAAACCCTAAATCTGGTGGTATTTATTTTAATTTAATTTATTTAATAGTCTTTCCTCACCTGGAGGTATATCATAAACTAATAATCAGTGAAAAATTGTTTTAGCTCCCTTAAAGCTACTTCATCAAATATATTTTCTAACTGCTTCCTGTCATTGTCTCTCATCATTTTCTGTATTTACCTTTTACAGCACTCATCATAATTTTAAATAACACATTTACTTACAGCTCCCTTGGAAGAAGAGCCATTTTTATTGCTCACTATTATATTTTCTATGCTGAGCTCAGTACTTAACACAGTTGAAATTCAAATATGAAAATTTTAAAACTATGAGCCAAAATTTTATTTAATGGAGAAGGGAAAAAGAAACAAAGTTCCCTAATACTGTTCTCAAAAATAAAAAATAAAAAGCTGAATAGAGAATGCATTTTGCCCTTTCTTTTAAGAAATGTTTCTTAAATATTCTTCTGCTTCCAGAGGGGCCACATGCTAACATACTCGTATCATTAACCTCCCTCAGCACACTAGTAATTGTGTGCTTTATCCCTTACCCCACATCAATAATAATCAATATAGAGTTACTGCTCTAGCAAGAATATTATATAAATAATCTTCTCTGAAGATATTTGGATCACAGAGCTCAGGCAGCAGGCTTAGCCCAAGGTACCCAGTTAAAGACTATGCCTTATGCCTCTTTTTCTAAGAAAACAATAATATAATTTTTATATATTGTTGTTGTTGTTGTGTGCTGTTGAGTTGGCCCCGACTCATAGTGACCCCTCCTTGGGTTTCCGAGGCAGTATCACTACGGAAGTAGATTGCCCAACCTTCCTTCCCAGGAGTGGCTGGTGGGTTTGAACCTCCAGCCTTCCGGTTAGCAGTCAAGTGTTTTAGACACTATGCTACCAGAGCTCCTATTTTTATATATAGGTGTGGCTAAAAAAAAACAGTATGTAACTAAAGATCCTTACAACAAACTGACTAGGTAAACACTACTCTTTGCTTTAGGGTTTTTGTCACCCAGCCCATAAAGATAAACTAACAATCCTTATGCATGCAAAGAGCTTAAAATGTAGTAGAGAAGACAAGTGCACAAATAACTATAACATATGGCAGTCTATGGTAAGGGTCCTTAGATACCATGTATCTAGATAGTATCCTACAGTTTATAAAGCACATTCACAAATGTTCCTGTTATTTTTTAAAGGCCCTGTGAAATATCAAGGATAAACATTATTATTATTATTTATTTATTTTTTTTGCTGATGAGGAACTCAATGCTACAAATAGAACTCACAGTGGATCCAGTACCAGAATCTGATTTTCTGTCTTTCTGACTTTTGGTCTTAAATTCTTATCTCCTATGGAGTACTTACATTCAGATCAAGGAATGGCTTAAAAACATAACATAAATTTTAAAGGATTTACAGGATTTTTAACCTCATAAATGGTTGAACTATAATAGAAAGTGGTATTACCTTAACATGATCTAAGATCACTAGTGGACCATTGACTCCTGATACTGTCTTGTATGCTGGAAAGAAACACAGAGAGTCAGATGTAGTCAAATAGCACACCACCCAAAACTACCAATCTGGTATTATCAAAAAACCTCTGTCGACTTTATCACAATTATGATAGTATGAACACTCAAATAGTTGTATTTTTTTCAGCATATTTAAAAAATATGCCTGTGTCTGTACAACTTCTCATAATCCATTCTCATCTAACCAAAATTAATTTGAACCCCTACTATAGGCCCAACGTTATGTAAGCACTCATGATATACAGAAACAAATAAGGGAGACAGACAGACCGTACCTTCAAAAAGTTACAATCTCATGGCAGGGAAAGGCAATGGTCACAATGTGATGAGATGAGTTGTCAAAAGGTTTTGTGTTAATACCCGAAAAACAAGAGTAGCTGTAATTACTTTCTCAGAGAAAAGAAAAGCTTTATAGGAGGTGACACTTAGGGCTGAATCTTGGGAAAGGAGTTAGCAAAATAGATGAGGGAGAGGGAAGGAATCCTTCACTTGAAGCAGAAGTGACAAAATTCACAAAGGAAATTTGACAAAATACAGTCTATAAGGTAAATATGAGGAGTCCTGGTGGCACAGTGGTTAAGCACTCAGCTGCTAATGGAAAGGTTGGAGTTTTGAACCCATCACCTGCTCCGCAGGAGAAAGAGGAGGCAGTTGCTTCTGTAAATATTACAGCCTGAGAAATCCTATCCGCCAGTTCGGCTTTGTCCTACAGGGCCGCTATGAGTCAGAATCAACTAGATGGCATACAGTAAGAAGATAAATGTACTAGAAATACAAAATATAATCTGTAAAGTATAAAGTCATAATAAAATGGTATCATAAAAATTATGGGGGAAAAGCTTTATAAATAAAGAGAATGGACAATAAAATGAAAGGCCAAAAGTCAAGTTAATAAGATTAAGTATTCCTTTCTTAAAAACTGAAAGAATACTATCAGTTCAGATACTGACATTTTCCACTGCAAATTTTGTCCTATGAACAAACTATTAGTCTACTTCATTTGAATAAACTATTAGTCTACTTCATTTAAAAAGAAAAGAAAAATCCCACTGCTGTCAAGTCTATTTCAACTCATAGTGACACTACAGGACAGAGTAGAACTGCCCTACAGGGGTTTGCAGCTCTGTAATCTTTAAGGAGGGAGCTCTGGTAGCATAATGGCTAAAGCACTTGACTGCTAACCAGAAGGCTGGCGGTTCAAACCCACCAGCCACTCCTCGGAAGGAAGGCTGGGCAATCCTACTTCCGTAGTGATACTGCCTCGGAAACCCAAGGAGGGGTCACTATGAGTTGGGGCCGACTCGATGGCACATAACAACAATAACAATCTTTAAGGAAGCAGATTGCTCTATCTTTCTCCCATGGAGTGGCTAGTGGATTCAAATTGCCAACATTTTAGTTAGCAGCCAAGCTTAACCACTGCGCCACCAAAATCCCTCATTAGAGACAGAAGTAGCCAAACTTCATTCAACCTTGTTACACCTACATCAAGTGTAATGGTCATTAAGTATAACAAAGAACTTTCAGGAGAAAATAATTAACTGACATCTTCAAAATCAGCTAAACATCAGAGTAGATTAAATACATGAAATAAGCAGTAGTTCTCCCTTCTCCCCTCCCTCCCATCCAGCCTTGATAACCATTAATGGTCTCTATATAATTGCTTATCCTAGATATTTTCACATGAGTGGAATCAAACAATACCTGTCCCTTTGTGGCTGATTTATTTCACTAAACTTGCTTGATTTCTTATAATGAGCTTGGACAGAGATTCTTGGCACAAATACAGACTCTTAAGAATGAGGAAACCATTTAATAACCAGTCTGTCCACTCAAGGGGCTTCAGAATTAAAAACACAATTCCTTCAGCCTAAGGCCAGGAAAGGAGCTCTGGTAGCATAGTGCCAAGGCACTTGACTGCTAACTAGGAGGCTGGCGGTTCAAACCCACCAGCCACTCCTCGGAAGGAAGGTTGGGCAATCCTACTTCCGTAGTGATAACTGCCTCGGAAACCCAAGGAGGGGTCACTAGGAGTCGGGGCCGACTCGATGGCAAAATAACAACAACAACAACAAGGCCAGGAAGGATATGCTCTGGCACAAATGCAGGGAGAGTAAGCAAGCACTATCAGGAGCCCATGCCTTTCATGCACACCAATCACACACCAAATATTTGTTCGAATACATCTGTAAATGTCTCATCAGAGGCCTCCAAAACTGACTTTCAAAAAATACCTTAGATAAAAGACAAGTCACAGCCTAAGGAATGTTAAACACTTGAATGGATTACATAAAAAGATTAATCCATTCCTTTAAGATTAGTAGAAAAACCCCCATTTGTTACATTTTCTGCCATTTTTATAAAAACCCTTCCTGTTGTTTTAAAGTGATCAAATAGTCTTTTTAAAACATAAATCCAACCTACTAAAAAAAAAATTGTTTGTTGTTCTCATTTTAAAAGGAAACGATGTCTTTTAGTGAGTACTTAGAAATGTTATGTGGAAAGAAAAGTGAGTTACATTAGACACATTTTTCCCTACAGCCTAGTTATAAAATATATAGAAATAGAGGCCTTTTAAAAACCTTTATCTAAACAGCTGGGGGGGGGGGACTGGGGGTAGTAGTGGTAGAAGAGATATCTAGTTGATATTTATAGGTAACTGTGTTGAAAAATATAACATCATAAAATCCTTTCAAAAAACCCACTG